CCATCAACTTTCGTTCACCATCAACTTCCATTAACCACCAACTTCCGTTCGCCATCAACTTGTGTTCACTACCATCTACCATTCACCATCAACTTCCTTTTACCATCGACTTCCGTTCACTATCAACTTCCGTTAATCATCAACTTCTGTTAATTATCAAGTTCTGTTCACCATCAACTTCCGTAAACCATCAACTTACGTTTACCATCAACTCCCGTTCACCCTCAACTTCTGTTAGCCGTCAACTTCCATTAACCGTCAATTTCCGTAAACCATCAACTTTCGTTTACCATCAACTCCCGCTACCCATCAACTTCCATTAACCATCAACTACCGTTAACCATCAACTTCTGTTCACTATCATCTACTGTTCACCGTCAAGTTCCGTTACCCATCAACTTCCGTTAACCATCCACTTCCGTTACCCATCAACTCCCGTTAACTTTCAACTACCGTTCACCATCAACTTCTGTTTACCATCAACTTCCGTTAACCGTCAACTTCCGTTAACCATCCACTTCCGTTAACCGTCAACTCCCGTTAACCATCAACTACCGTTCACCATCAACTTGTGTTCACTACCAGCTACCATTCACCAATAACTTCCTTTCACCCTAAACTTGCGGTCAACACCCAGCATAATTGGCACAATCAACTTCCGGTCTTCCGCCACAACAGTGAACGTGACTGCGAGAGAATAGTAAGATTAATAATAATAAATAATAGTAATAATTAACAAACAAACAAAATATAATTAATAATAGTGTCAAATATTCGCGAGACATAGATACACCACTTCATCTATTGACTAAAACACAAACTAGTCAGTCAGTCGGCCAATCGCAGAGCAAAGCGGGATTGTTCAGCCAATCAGGGGCCAGTGAGTCGATGTCGTCCCTCCAAAGTAGTAAACTGTGGGGAAAATTGGTGATGGTGTGATTTGGGTTGCTTACTTGTGCCTATTCAAAGCAGTGGGTTCTTCGTTCACTGAGATTCGTTCGTGGTATTATGAACCCGGAACACAAGTGACGTGCGTTAGAAGGATGAGTGGGTTGGTCACAGGATTTCCTTCCCTCATCCAGAGCGCATCGGTAAGATAACCCTTCACTTACATTATTGATTTGTCTAGGTTATGTTCTTTTGTGATTTGCTTATGTTTTGTTGGTTTATGGTACCTTTCTATGTTGATTGTCGAGGTGTTATATTCAATATATCGGGTGTTGTTAATACTGTATGAATTTTAGCGAAATATTATGAATATGTTGATATGTTGTTAGGTCCTAACAGTTAGGAGGACTCTACCCACGTCAAGGGCCGGGCGTGAGAAGCGTCATCATCCGTGTTCGACAGTCCCTGTCCTCTAGGCCAAGGGGACATACAGTATATAACCTGACTTGTCCAGTCGTGGGGGACTCACGGAGGCCAGCAGACCAAAATTTACCGGATCCCAGTTCAGCGGCGACTTCGGTCTAACGGTCTAACCCCATCCCTTGAGTATGCTGTTCGGGAAAGCTGGAACTCCTCTGTACTCAGGTCGACCTCTCGCTTCCATACACCACTACTGACAACTCGTCGGCAGAGCTGTTGTGTTGTACCTGATCATGATATTACCCTAGTAAACTTACTTATTATATTACTTTTGTTTGTGTATATTATTATAAATAAATTTATATTTTTAATGGACAATTTTCCTTTAGCACCTCACAATAGATTGGTGTAACAGTCTACCACCAAAGATCTTATTTGGCCTTTACTGTGACCATACCGGTGGAGCACCAGTTTACCACTACCCTTGGGTACAGATACACTCCGCGATAAATGTACATCCAGGGGTACAGGTACACCCTTAGGTGCAATTATACCCAGGAGTACAAATACACCCTGGGGTACAGGTGCACCCTGGAGAGCAGGTACACTCTGAGGTGCAGCTACACCCAGGAGTACAGGTATAGTCCGGGGTACAGGTAGTACACTGAGGTAATTTTATTTTATTTTTTAATTTTGACACTGTGTACAGCCAATGGTACAGATACAACCTGGGGCTCAAATATTTTCTGAGGTACCGGTACATTCTGGGATACAGATACACTCTGGGGTACATTTACACCCTAGGGTACAAGAATAATCTGAAGTACAGGTACACCTAGTACAGATATACAATACGATCCATATACACTCCGGGGTACAGGTACACTCTAGGGCACATGTACACTCTGGGGTACAGGTACATTCGACGGGCACATGTACAGTAGCTAAAACAATTATCTGTGCAGGTGAGGGTCAATATGCTCCGAAATTTTGCATGTGACTAGTGACAGCCCAATATTTATCGTCCATGGTTTCATATTGTTTCCCACAAAGTATGCACAGATAGTTGTTTTAGCTGCTGTTCACTCTAGGAAACATGTATAGTTGTATACTCTGGGATACAGGTACACCCTCACATGGTCCACTATGGTTGTTGGTGGCCGCCATGATACTCCCCACCATAAACGGTACACACTACACGAACAACTTTAATGTCTATTGATGGTCCTTCATTCTTGAGAAACACCATAAAGTAGCATAAATTAATAATTTTTTGAGTCACCGGAGAGTGTGTGTGTGTGTGTGTGTGTGTGTGTGTGTGTGTGTGTGAAACTACCATAGTATATTAGCTGACGGTCTTCCAGTTACACATCATCTCCGTGAGCAGAAGATTCAACTCTCCGTCCCAGCGAGATTTCACATCAACAGAAAAAAAAAATTCTGGTGAGTAATTTTGTTGTAACTTAACGTGGAGTGTTTTAACGAGAGCAACATAACACCATCATACTGCAAGAATTGAAACCTTAAGCAAATTATTGTGGATAAAACTCAACACACAGTAGCCATGAAACCTGCCTAGAAGCGTCCTGGCAGAACCTCGAGATCTGATGTCTGGGTTAACGAAGGCAGCTCTGAGGATCCACTGAATAAAAGTGAACAAGAGAGGCTTTTTACCAGCTAACACAGGAGGCTTAGCTGGAAAATTGACTTTGCTGCTAAAAGTTGTATTTAAGTCATCTGACACGTACAGCACAGTATATATACAACATGTCGCACCTACTTGTATATACAGGGTGATTCAGCAAAGTGTACATTAAATTGAAGGATGATATCCTTGGATAATTCTAAACCACAATGTCTCCATGGTAAAATGTCAGATTCAACATAGATTTCATGTAGCAATACATTTAAGATGTTGTACTAATGAGAGTGAATTTTAAGTGAAACTCCCTCCCCCTGTAACTGCCTTTATCTCATTCGGTCGTGCACTGTCCCTGTTTCATTGCACCAGTGTCAGCCATCTGTGTCACGTTGTACTGCTGTACATAAGACATCTGTGAATAAATGATTACAAAAACCTAATGAGGTTTCACATCAAATTCACTCTCATTAATACAACATCTTAAATGTATTGTAACATGGGAAATATGCAGAATCTGACATTTTACCAGAGACATTGTGGTTTAGAATTATCCAAGGATTGAATTTTCCAATTTAATGTACTCTTTGCTGAATTAACCTGTATACATTAGTAATACTTCACGTGGATCAAACACTCAAGCGCAGTTTAAGTATAAATAAAGTTTCATGTATATCATTCACTTTCTGATCTCAGCCATACTGCACTTAGTTCTTCCTTTGATAAAAAATAATAACACATTTTTATCAGTGGAACACCTGTATCTGAGTTTCTTTGTGAAAATAATATAATTATTTTTCACTAAATTATATACTGCAAAAGTTATTTTTTGGACATTTTCACCACTTATCGGCCGTTCGGTCGTTTGGTCTATCCAGTGGTAGTACAGGAAGAAACCGGACTCCGGGAAACCATAGGCCAAGCAGGATTCGAACCCTTGTCATATTGGTGAGAGATACATACTGTACGTTCCCGCAGTACCACCAACACCTTCACCATCGAGAGATATCAGGTTATGATCACCAACACTTGGATCTACAGCAGACGACACAACTTCAACACTCAAGAAAGACATTCCATCTTTAGATGGATGACAAATTTTAACAGGTCATCCCAGCTGCCGGGATTACCTGCACTGTTTAAAGGAATGAACTTACTTTACAAACACCTGGACTGGTTTACAAATTGTACTGTGTAAACCAACACATGTGATCTATTTGTGTCTGTTAATATTTTTCCATCACGTTCATTACTTACACTCCCAGTCCACCCAACTGTAAATGGTTCCCTAACTTTATAGTTGGGAAAGTGGTGCTGAAATGTGTGTGAAGCGACAAGAGCAAACCAGGTGAGAGGCGCGGAAGGGGGAGTACCTCAGCTGAACACATATTTAACAGCAGGAAGACTAAGTGCATGACAGCGAATGAAGGGACAATGTATGTGTTTATGTCTCTCTATGTTTAAGTCTGTAGGTGTGTGTGTTTCTGTGAGTACGAGAATTTTGTGTGAAAGTGTAATTCTATGTACGTACGTGAATTTGTGTGTATGTGTGTGGAGCACAATGACCCCGGACACTTTCACTGGTTTACTTTCACGACCGTACGTGTTACCGAGTCCAATCCCGTCCCCTCCCTCTACCCCTTCCCCTCCCTGTTCCTCCCTCCCCTCCTACACCTCCTTCCTCTACCTCCTTCCCTCCCTCTTCCCCCCTCCCTACCCCAATCCCCCCTCAGGCTAAGTCGCAGGGGGTGATTCATGCTCCCCCTCACCTTCCCCCACGATATAGCGAGGGGGAAGGAGATATGATTCATGCTCCTGGTTCTCCCTCATTACTTTCTCTCTCTCTGTTCGAGTGTCTGTTCTTCTGTTTTTCTCCCCATTTATTTTTAAGTGTAAATAAACAGATAGGTGTTACAGTATACTGCACCGCCTGAGTAAGAGAGCGAGAGACAGAGACTATGAATGCCACGTATAGCTGCTGGAACACATTAAAAAAATTGCTATAAAATAAAATAACAACAAAAATATCAAGTACGCATATAGAATATCTTACCTTCATCTTGTCGATCCCCAGTCGGTATGTTTACATTGTGTACAGCTGATGTTGTTTTGCCTGTTGATGGCCCACTGCGAGATAAGAAATGAGCGTAAAACTAATATATCTTTGAATACATTGTTTGCATGCCTATACTCTCTATGTATTCTGTTTCTATGCCTACAATCTCTAATTATATTATACACTACAACACTACACTATATTCATTTTTATATACCTACCGTGTCTCTGTGTAGATTGTTCGTGCATCCACACTGTCTATGACTCTGTTATCCAACCTTTCCTCACCAATGATCGCACTTTAGAGTTTATTCTGCTTAACGCCTGACGATTTTATTCAGCTTAGGGAACCTCCAGAAGTCAATGGGGTTAATCGTACACATCTCTTGAAAGCTTATTTCTTACGATGATTAAACACAATAATGTTACCTGTAGGGGTTCGGTTATAGGTTAGGTAAAGTTAGGTTAGCGTTCAGGTGGTTAATCTTAGGGCAAAATAAACTAAGGTATCTAATCTTCAGGTAATATATTATATTTATTTATATTTATAGATGGCATTAATTGTTTGGTGAGTGTGTGTGTGTGTGTGTGTGTGTGTGTGTGTGTGTGTGTGTGTGTGTGTGTGTCTCAATGCCAGAATCAGAAGGTTGACAAAATCCCATCAGCTAAATCTTTATAGTAACAAGAATTTTAGTAGGTTAGGTTAGGTTAGGTTAGGTTAGGTTAGGTTAGGCTAGGTTAGGTTAAGTTAGGTAATTTCGTTAGGTTGAGTAAATTAGCTGTGGTCTGAACAATTTAAGGAAAGTAGGTAAGACAGATTAGGTCAGGGGAAGGCATTTAAAGACAGGGTAAGTTAGGTAGATTAGTTAAGACTTAAATAGATTAATTTACCTTAGATATGTTATATTTCGTTATTTGTATTAGGATTAGTGCACTGGTAAGTTACAGTAAGCTAGGAAGGATTAGGTAAGTGATAAAAGTTAGGTTAGGTAAGGTTAGGTTAGGTTAGGTTAGGTTAGGTTAGGTTAGGTTAGGTTAATGTTATCGCCATTGAAGAGGTAAGTATGCGACGTCTGGATAAGAAGACCTGTGCACCTGGACTCAATGGTGTTTAATGGTGAAAACCTGTCAATACAATGTCAGTGTTAGGACATTTCTCATGATTTGTGGATTACAAGTTAGGTGACAATTACAACTTCGTATTGTAAACAATGGCAACAGCATTTACTACACACTTATCTGAATATGACAAAGGCGTATACCTAGTATCTCCCGATACATAACATCTTAGAACAATAAGGCCTCGTAGACCACAGACTTACTTGTAACTAGTCTGTAGGTAACCGTGCTCACAGCTCGACAGTGTGTCCTGAAATGACCCCATAACCCGGCCAGGACAGATGGAGTACAGACTGATGCATCAATGGACCACCATGAGGACACGCACGTGGACGACGTATCTACACCAAGAAGGATGTCCCCTACCAACCTCTCGACGTCCCCCTTGAAGCTGACACTACCGACGTACACGCCATCACAATCACACTAAAAGGGATGTCCCTCAATATTGTAAATGCCTATGTGTCTCCCTCCACCTCTAGTGTACCTGTCCTACCACAACATATCATCTCCACCCACACCCTCCTTGTGGGGGACCTCAATGCCCGACACCCCAGTCTCTGCTCCCAGGGGCCCTACCCAAACTCCCGGGGTAACTCCTTACTTTCTTACCTACAAACCACTGATGACCCTGTTACCAACACCTCTTCCCTCCCTGACCAGATATCCTTCCTCCTCGAGACAGGCCTGGCACTTGACATTATTAGGGACCTGCCACGCTTTGCCATAAACAGATAAATTGTCATTCTGTCACTTTATGTAACTTGCTGAAAAAACCCATGACGCTTCAGGCTTTTACGCCCTTAATACATGAGTCATAAAGGCAAGCATGAACTACGCATGCTTCTCCCTTGGGCACTGTAAACGCTTTTGCGCTTCACCTTGCACAGGATGTATGGGGGTGCCCAATAAACTAGCCCCCTCGGGGGCAAATAAAAAACAGACAAAAAATAAAGCGCGGCGCCATCGTCCACTTTCAGAGAACTGCCACCATCAACACTGCTAGCCTCCCCTCACTTCTGTGGGAGGGCTGGAAGTGCTATTGTTGTGACTCAATCTGACGGTAATATAATTGAGAAAGGAATTAGAATTAACAACTGGGCATCCACTCTACAAACTGAATTAGTTACCATACTCACAGCTATTAAATTCATTGAAACCACTGTCACTGACAGTCTCATCATCACTGACTCTCTATCCTCACTACTTGCCCTTGACACCCTCAACTCAAGTTGTCACGCTCTTGTCTCTGAAGCCAGACACAAATATGCGTGCCTTGTTGACCAGGGTGTCAAGGTCAAACTGTTGTGGATCCGCTCTCACATAGGCCTCATGAAACGTGACAGGGTTGATGCCCTCGCCAAACTCGCGTCTATCAAAGACACCGTTGAATACAATTTGGGTCTGTCAAAAAGAACCCTTAAAACTGTAATTAGGAAAGAACTTATTGATGAATTTGACGCAAATAGACAAGTGCAAACAGGCACTAGTCGATCCATAGTTTACCATGATGAGACGTATCAAGTGAAACATGTATATGGAGCGAGTAACAAGCTCACTAGATTACAAGATGTTGTAACCGCTAGATTAAGTTTAGGATATAAGTACCTCTGGCAGTATGTTCCTCAAGCAGAAGTATACAAGACTAAATGTAAAGTGTGTGGCCAGACATGTGGCCACACACTTTTCGTCCTCGACTGTGTGAAGATAGAACCTTTTAGGGACAGGTCCAAGCACACTGTGTGTGAAATGGCACAACACTTCATCTCTAATGGCAAGATAGCCGACATATTAATATTGTATCCACTTTTTTGCACTTAGTAACTATATCAGTTCTCATGTACAGAACCAAATACACAATGTGCTTGAATACTTCTCACGCAAATGTGAATAACAAAGTGTGCGGCCAGACATACTACCTCACACGCCTGTACTCACGCATTTGTGAATGAGTTACCCTTTATGTATAGAACTAAACAAATAATGTAATTGAAATACTGTGTAACATTCAGTGCCATAATATCCTGACCACGGGGGTTAATTATTATGACCTGTTGTAAACTCTACTCTGTAATCCTTTTGCGCTACCGCTCACGGGATGAGTGTGGGGTGCACAATAAAGTAGCCGCTGTAAGCGGCAAAATCAATCACTCCTTCAACTTAATTAGTTAACTCCGTGTTCATATAAACTATTTTTCCATATTACCGTTATCATAAGACCCACATATGTTATCACAAATTCCACAATTACTGCTCGCCCAGTGCAGGACGGTAACAGGTTAGGTTACGTTGCGTTAGGTCACATTACGTTTAATACCCTGGTAAATTACAGTAAGCTAGTTAGATTAGGTAAGGCAGAGAGGTTAACTAAACTAAGTTAAACTATTCAGGCTAGGTTAAGTGAGGAAGGTTGGGTTAAGTCAGGAATTGCTCGTGTATACAGTACAACACGCCAGGGTGGTTTGTGGCGAACAGCTCGCCAGTCTAGACACCATCACCTTTAAAGGCGTTAAATTATGATATCCTAGAGGTTGAAATGCCATTATATCTATTGGCATGGTCGACCTTATGACGTATATAGCTTAACACTTTGTTACCTTGACCTTGGCTGGTCTTCACCACTAAACTCAGCCCATCTTTTAGTCTTTATGAACAAAAAACTAATTAAACCACCAATATATTCTTGTTTAGGTTATGTGGCATTTATCTCATTATCCGCGTAATTACTGACCCTCTTCGGCACTTGTCAAGTTCCTACTGCCGTATTGAGTGTTACTGTTTATTTCTGCTTCCTCTTACTGTTGAAATGCGCGCAGACAGTGACGTCATGCGGTGGTCATTACACCAATCCGAGTCATGTTTAACAGCTGGGATAATTTCTCAACAGTGAGGGAAGTCCACTGCTGGGTGTGAGTAGTAGGGAGGCTGTGTGGGTGAGTTTGTGTTAGGGAAGATATGTGGATGAGTTTGCGTAGAAGGGAGACTGTGTGGGTAGGTGTGGGTAGTAGGAAGGTTGTGTGGGCGGCGGTGGGAAGCTAGATATAAGTATAGATGGGTGTAGGAATCGATCAGTAGCTGCATGGATAACTGAGAAAATGTGTGGATGGATGGCAGACCTTGTGGGTAGGTGTAGGTGGTGGGTGTTTGGATGGCTGTGGGTAGCTGGGAGTCTATGTGGGTGGGTTGGAGGTGGCTGTGTGGGTGAGTGGGGTGACTGTGTGAGTGGATAGGGGATGGTTGGGAGAGTGCGTCGGTGGCTAGCAGGTGCGTGAGCCGGTGAAGGACTGTGTTTGTAGATGGGTGACTGGGAGACTGTGTGGGTGACTGGGAGACTGTGTGGGTGGCTGGGAGACTGTCTGGGTGACTGGGAGACTGTGTGGGTGACTGGGAGACTGTGTGGGTGGCTGGGAGACTGTCTGGGTGACTGGGAGACTGTGTGGGTGACTGGGAGACTGTGTGGGTAACTGGGAGACTGTGTGGGTGACTGGGAGACTGTGGGTGGCTGGGAAACTGTGTGGGTGGCTGGGAGACTGTCTGGGTGACTGGGAGACTGTCTGGGTGACTGGGAGACTGTCTGGGTGACTGGGAAACTGTGTGGGTGACTGGGAACTGTGTGGGTGACTGGGAGACTGTGTGGGTGAAACTGTGTGGGTGACTGGGACTGTGTGGGTGACTGGGAGACTGTGTGGGTGACTGGGAGACTGTGTGGGTGACTGGGAGACTGTGTGGGTGACTGGGAGACTGTGTGGGTGACTGGGAAACTGTGTGGGTGACTGGAGACTGTGTGACTGGGAGACTGTGTGGGTGGCTGGGAGACTGTGTGGGTGACTGGAAGACTGTGTGGGTGACTGGGAAACTGTGTGGGTGACTGGGAGACTGTGTGGGTGACTGGAAGACTGTGTGGGTGACTGGGAGACTGTGTGGGTGGCTGGGAGACTGTCTGGGTGACTGGGAGACTGTGTGGGTGACTGGGAAACTGTCTGTGTGACTGGGAGACTATGTGGGTCTGGGTGGTTGGGAGACTGTGTAGATGGCTGAGAGACTGTGTGGGTGTGGGTGGCTTGGAGACTATAATAATAATAATAATAATAATAATAATTAACGGTTTATTGAAAGAGCTTGGCAGCCAGAAGGCTGAAAATATACAGTTACATATTTGGGGAATGGGTTACGAATTACAAATAATATACAAGTAACATAAGTGACACAAATAAGACATATAATAACTAGATGGGGAAAAGCTCAAACTACAGTACATTTCAACATAGTGACAGTGTAAGGAGCAGTGTTTACTGGGAGTGAATACACTGATTTATTACAAGTTATTGATAATTTTCACAATGGTTGGGACTGGGCTGTTCTTATAGCGATCAGTTCGTGCACGTATGGGCTGGATGCGGTTGTGGTGTCGAACAGCAATTCTCGGACAAGGGATCTCAGGTGGTAGTAGGAGCCGGTGTCGGGGATGGTGTAGAAGCTTCTTACCAAATTTGCGGATGAGGTCGTGGTGATGGTCAGTGAGAGTCGAAAGGGTCAGTGTGTTGAGCGCTTCTTGATATGTGGAGTAGGAAGGGGAGAGAATAATCTTGGGACAATGTGAGTGGGTGGGTGTGGGTAGCTTGACTGCAACTTAAGCAATTGAAGGGTAAGCCTAGTGACAGGCCGGGTGGCATGGTGGGTGACAGGCCGGGTGGCATGTTGGGTGACAGGCCGGGTGGCAGGGTGGGTGACAGGTTGGGTGGCAGGACAGAAAGGAGAGTAGGTGGCAGGTTGGGTGGCAAGGTAACAGGCTAAGTAGTGGGCAGGGCGGCAGGGTGGGCGGCTGGGTGGCGCCAGTACATCAGCTTTAATGGCTGCGTCGGTGATATACTTTAATACAAGCTCCGCCATGTTTGTTTGTTTGTTGTTCCCCGCAGCGTCCCAGCTCTCTTTCACGTGTGTGTGTGTGTGTGTGTGACGTCCTCCGTCATTATTTTCGCTTTACTTTATGATCTCTTTATTTTACTCGTAATAATAATAATAATAATAATAATAATAATAATAATAATAATAATAATAATAATAATAATAATAATAATAATTAACGGTTTATTGAAAAAGTTCTGCAGCCCGAAGACTGAAAATATGCATTGAACGTCGCATAAATGACTTATTACATACATTGACAATGGGGGGAGGGACAAGAGCTTTTATTAGAGAAAGGTAAAGAAACATACAGTGAAAAATTAATGTTTACAGCGAAGGTGACGTCTAGTAACTCCCTCACAGATGGTGTTATAAGGGGTGTTAATGGGAGAGCGGTACCGCTCTTGCCACGCAAGCAATATGTCAAGGAGG